TCTGTACAATCTTATAAATCTTAATTTTTTGTGGCATGCATACTTCTTCTATTCTCTAATCTCATTTTATGGCTAGACCATAGAGCAAGACATTTCATATAAATTTTAATCTTTGCATTTATGTGGCTTGATAAATTTGCATCTAGTTTTTGGTTCTTGGAATTTGTATTTCAGCACACCTATTCTCTCCAAGTTCATGCTGATCAGGTTATCTAAGAAATTTTTATTTGGCATACTCTTCATTTTTTCTCAGATTTTTTGATTGGATGAGCAACAAGATATTAGTTTTTCCCAAGTTGGGTTTTATGGATATATTATCATCTTAATTCATTACTTGTCATGTTCCCACTGGACACATGCTTATTCAATAAGGACATTTTTTTTTGCAATGATGTTATTTTCTAATGTTTTCAATTTTTAGAACACTGCAACCGGTAGGAAAGGAGCTGGGCAATCAAATTATGGAGGAGGAGCATTTAATGTGACGGTAAGCCTGTGGAGGTGCTATTTCGTAAACTGTTTCTGCTGTCATTAACGACTGTTGGGAATATCTTGAAAAGAAGCACACTTTCGTTTCAATTTGAAGGCTGAAACTTCTATCTATCATTGTATTTATGGGCATGCTTATGCTTTTCTTGATGGAATTTTCTTACATAAATTATTTTCTGCATTATGTTCCAATTTTGTAGAACCCAGGCAGCGTGCCACCTGTTTCAAATTCTAGGCTTTCACCTCTTCCACCTGAACCTGCTGATTTCTACAATGACCGTACTGCAACAGTAGATATACCTCTAGATGTGTCCAAGGTAATTGTTTTTCTTTGAGCATTAACATATGTACCACATAATTCTTATGCATTTACATATCTAACACCTAACTTTCATATTTACGTACATAACACTCAAATAATTAATATCACATAAAAAAGACCATTATTACTAACTTTCAAAAGTGAAATGCACATTTTCATTCATAGGTTGATGTCACCCAAGTGTTAAAATGATAATATGGAGTTTTAGGTGTTTCATGTGTAAATGCATAAGAATTGTGACCTATGTATGTAAATTCTTCTTTGTTTTGGATGCATGGCCAGGATTTAATTTTAAGTGTATTCTATGAAAGGAAAATTGGGAACAGGATCTCACTTTGCTAAGGCAATGAGATTTATTTTCTTTCACTTGGGATGTCATTCAACAAAATATGCACAATTATCATAGACACCATTTGCATAATTGACGTAGATTTTGCTTTGGTTATGAGGCAACTTGGCCTTTTTGTATTTATTAAACACACTGATACAAATCAATATTCTGAGTTTTAGTTCTACTTGTCTTATTTTTATGTTTTCTATTTTGTTTTGAATATAAAATGGCCATCATGTTGGTACCTATGAGGATGGCATGTGATATCTAATGATTTGAGTATTTTGGTGGATTTGGGTTTACTGCTGTAAGTGATTTTAGATTTGTCCTTAGGTCCCCTTGACTGCTAGTGTCGAGCTTCATGTTTCTTTCAACCTTGTGATTTGGAAATTCCTACTTTATTTATATTTCTCTTTTCTCTGTTTCATAGTGTAGCTTTGCTCGGCACTTGGTTACTATAGAAGAGATTAGATCTTCGTTACCTCTGGCTGTGCCTGACACAACATTTTGTACAACTCTATCACTCTTGTTTTAACCTTATCAAGACTGATTCTTATCTCCTAATGGATTTTCCTTATGTTGAGCTATAGTGGGGGGCATCCTCCTTCAGCTCGGTTTACCACTTTTTACTGTAGCTTTGTCCTGCAGTTGATTTCCATTTTCTACACAGCATTCACTTACACTAGGTTTAAGTATTTAACATATTTATTGGAGTGCATGTGGATGAATTTTTTTTTAGTGTTTTGGTGCGTTGTGCATATGCATACCTTCAATGCATTTGCCTGATTTTCAATCCATTTGCATGGTGCAATTGAATGATTTTTGATGCACCTGTCTGGCACACTTGAACGTTGTTAGCGAATTTGCACTGTACACCTGCATGCTTTTAGATGCATTTGTATGGTAAACCTGCATGCTTTTTGGGATGTCGTAACTGAGTGGTATGTTACCTCAATGCATTTGGGAAACTTAAAATTATCCAATTGCGTTTGTCTAATTGTTTTGTTGTTAACGGTACAAAAACTTTTCATTTGGATTTTACTATCTTCTGTTCGCATGTGCATACATGTTACAGATTTCACGGTGAGTTTTGGACATCAGAAACTTTATGGGGTCAAAATGTTACATTTTGTCTTTATATGAACGGATTTTAGCGGGATGGTCTTCACAAGCAGTCAATACATTCCTTCTATAGATAAGAAGGGTCCTTTGTTTTTCCTTTCGATATTCAATCTCATTTGATCCATAGTTCACAGAACTTTTATAATGTTAGGAGCAATGTGGAGGTTTTCTTCTTACTTTTAGTGAGTTCTTCAAGTTTTTGTAAGTTTGGTTCAATATTCATTCTAGTTCTTGTAAGGTTGACAAGTACTGCTTTTTCCTATTTGAGGTTTCAATTTGTTTTTTTTATTATGAATTTCTATCTTTATTTTGTCACTTGATTTTTGTCCAAACTTTAAGTTTGTTTAGTGTTCATTTTGATAGCCTCTCAATATGTGGATTATATACGGCGAGTTCCGGTTTGTCCACCACAAAAAAGCACTTTTATGGGTGGTGTAAACACCACAATTGGGTTTTCCATGCCACTGTTCCAAAAAAGGCACATATGAAACTTCATACCTGCATAAAAGATTTTTAATATATATATATACATATATATATATACATATACATATATATATATATAT